ACACGACTGAGCGATGAACAAAAACAACAACATAATTTGGGGTTACAATGCAGCAGAATTTTTACCTGAACTTAGGATGTTCTGATTGATTGAATTAAGCAAAAGAAACAGGAAGATCCCCTGGAGGAGGGCATGGCGACCCACTCCAGTATTATTGCCTGGAGAATCCCATGGACAGAGGACCCTGGTGGGCTACCATGGTCCATAGGGTCACAAAGAGTCAGACATGACTGAGCAACTTAGCATGCACAAACTATTTTAAGTATTTGGGAGCCAGATGAGTTCATCTTCCATGGACTGTATAGTCCGTGGGGTCACAAAGAGTCGGACACAACTAAGCAACTTTCACTTTCACTTTCTTTGGCGTTCATCTCCAAGATTTGGAAATAGAGAGTTAAATTATAAAAGCTATGTATAATGGATCAGAATATAAAGTCACCTAAAAGAAAGAAAATAGCTGATAGACCAGAGCAGGACTTTCCACTAATGGAATGTGGTAATACAAAATAAGAATTATTTCATGGAGAGGGCTCCAATCAACACAGAGGCGTAAAACAGCTGGAGGCAGAGAGTCACACCCTGGCAGTGTCCATCCTAGGAACAACCCAAGGAAGGAGAATTTTAAGCCTTAGGCCTCCGTTTTACCAAGACCCATGGCAAGGCTCTGCGTCAGGAGAGCAGGTGGGCAGGAGGAAGGGGAAGAGGCCTGAGTTGAGAGCAGGTTAGAAGAGAATCCTCAGGTGAGAGTGAAGTGTGTGGTGCAGCCACACGGGACCACACCAGCGACGGGGGAGTCGGGGTAACAGCCGCTGGAGCTGTAGGGGCAGCTTACGTGTGGTCAGCAGCTGGGTTAGTGAGGTTTCCCAGGCTCCCCCGGGTTAGCTGATTTGAATAATGCCCCAGGCTCCAGTCACAGAGGCTGTCCTGAGCTGTCGGGAGCCCGCGCCAGGGCAGTTAAGGATGAGGCTGGTGCATAGTGCCCCAGAGCATTCGAGCCCCCAGAGGGAGGTGGTGTGGGTTGTTAATTTAATCAGTTGTCTAAGAGGAGCTCATCAGTCCCTAAACAGAGTTTCAAAGTGGGTCAAGGCATTTTTTAAAATAAATTAAAACTATTATATTACGCAGAATGATTTTACCTTAAGTGCCTGCTCAGATCAACTGCCCAGAGCCCACAGCGGGAAAGGATCTAAGGGGGATTCAGTGGGAAAGAAAGCTGAGATTCCTGGGGGGTGCCAGGCAGAGGCCAGAGGGCAGCAGAAGCCCCACAAGCCACACATGGACCGACCCAGATACTAGAGAGTTGTTGTTTGGGTTCAAGTACCGCCCTAAAGCAAGAGCCTCCCCAAAATGAAAAACGCATTAGCTGTGTCTGCCTCATTATTAGAGTATTTAAGTCGTATCAGTAGGAATCACTCATTCTTTATGCATCCTGTTTATTTCACTGATAGCCCTGAAGACAATTTGCAATTATTTATTTATTAGTTATGCATACACATTCTATATTTATTATTTATGAAATGTTTAATTATGCATTTTCTTATTTATTATCCATCTTTCTCACTAGAATATTAGCTCCTGTGAGGCCTTTACTCACCAAAGTATACCCAATGCCTAGTAAAATCATCCTTTCAGAGTCAGTGGTCTAGAATATTTGTGGAATGAGCAGGTAAACAGAACAACACAGGATAAAGGGATGAATGTAATTCTCCTCACTCACCAAGCAGTTTTCAGATGCTGACAGCGCTCTTTCCTAAAACAGAATCCCTATCATGCTGTCGGGATATCTGATCTTTCTCATAAAATTATAGCTTGTATTCCAGTGAGTGCTTTATTCTTATGTGTGGTTTATTTCACATGGGTCATGGGCTCAGGGACTGTCTACCTCTGGGCATTGGCAAGATTGACCATCCAGACCATAAAAATAGATGTTGGAGGGACTTCCCTGGTGATCCAGTGGCTGACTCCACGTTCTGCAATGCAGGGGGACCCAAGTTCAATCCCTGTCAGAGAACTAGATCCCATATGCTTCAACTAAGAGTTTGCATGCTGCAACTAAGACCTGATGCGGTCAAATAAATAAATACATATTTTTTTAGAAAAATAGAGGTTGGATTCAGGCAACACTGTTTTTCACCCAGGGAAAGACCCCTCTTCCAATCTTGATTCCCTACTTACAATTTCTGCCCAACCATAAGCAAAGTCACTCTAGTTAATGCTAACACACAGTTTCTTAGGTTTCTAGGTTAAATAAAATCTGCTGGAGCTAGAAGGATTTTTCTACATCGACTTTCATCCTTGCTGCTTAATTAAATCCCTCACCTGGGAAAAGAGTGATTTTCATCCTCCTCGCTTTCTGTGACATCAGTATGAATCTGTGACTGTTGAAATACCAAAATGCCAGTTGTGTTTAATGCTTCAGATGTAACAAGCCTGTTATATTTGGAATCCCCTACGAAGATAGATATTAGCTGAGAATTGAAAATGACAGCAGAGAAGATTGAACCAGAATAGCAAAGGGAGCACACAAATCTGCTTCTCTTCTTGCTCCAATCCCTTAAAGTGTGAAAAATACGTTTTTCTAAGAATATCTCCATAATAGTACTAGAAAATAAGAATAACACTATCAGAGACCCCCAAATCTTGGGAATTTCTTGGGAGACTACAGCAAATTGAGAACAAGGAAGATGACCAGAGTCCAAAGAATGCTCAGAGAGAAACATCTATGTAAGAACATACTCAAACAGACACTGATCTCACAAAAGAGCATGCGGGTGTCACAGTAGCTGAATTGCATTAGTGGCCCCAATTCTTCACTGTCCCTGCATCCATGCTGTTTGCCATGAGACTTTACAATTCTTTCACCAGAGTTGCTTTGAGGCAGAATGACAATGTGTCATGTCAGTTCTGAGCCTATGCATTAGAAGCCTTACGTGTTTTTCACATTTCCATTTGCTGCCCTGGCAATGCCATGAATGTCCAAACTGGCCTTCTTGGGTATGAGAAACGTGGAATAAGGCAAAATCACCCCAGTCATTCCAGCCAGCACTCAAAAATGTGAGTGAACCTTTGAGATTTGGGGGGTTGTTTGTTACACAGCGTTATCACAGCAATATATAACTGATACAGAGTCCCAACAGTGTTTGTTTATAACCCATTATTACTACTTAGAAAGAAAAATAGGCAGCAGTGGTGTTTGACTGTAGAATTAAAGCATCACCTGTGCTCTAAGAAAGGGAACCCATGCCCAGGGAAGTGTGCCCCTGTGTGGCCCAAAAGACTGAGAAAGAAAAAGAATTGGAGGTAGTTCTGGACCTCCAGAGCTTGTAGAGAGTGGTAGGGAAGGAAAAGTCAGCTTTACTTGGAGGAAAATAAATTAACCTTCTCCTTCCCAGGGTTAAGAAAGCCACCCTTGTTTTAGCCATTGGGGTGGTGGTGGGAGTCCCCAAACTGCTTGTCTGCTATACTCTCAAGCATCCAAAAATGAGATGCATCAACTGACACACCCCGCTGTCTTAAGCAGAGCTTGAAATTAGCCCTCACACATTGCAGATGCAGATGTAGCTGATAGTGGAGAAACTCACCCAGAGATTCACACCCTGTTTCAGAAACACAGGTGCAGGACAAAATCCCTTGACATGAAGGAAAAGTAAACTAATAAGATACACTGTGCTTCCATTGCAGGGGGCATGGGTTCAATCCCTGCTCAGGGAAGTAAGATCCCAAATGCTGCTCAGCACAACCAAAAAAAGGAGCAATAAGACAAAGAACACTCTAACTAATCCTAATGGGAATGAATTTAATAAAGGGAAGAAATATTGTTTTTAATATCTAATAATATCCTCAGCAATATCCATCATGCTATTCTGTCCATAAGATAAAGTTGACAAGTGTGAAAAGGATACATTCAGAAAATGATAAAGAACTCTTGGAAATTAAATTTTCCCTAAAACCCTCAGTACTGTAATAAATATTACAAGAGATAAGCCCATACACAAACTAAGCAATTAGGAAGATTAAATTGAGAAAAATTTTAGACTAGATTTCTTGTTAAAGACAGAGAATATGTAAGAAAGACAAAAGATATAGATGATTGATCTAGAAAGCCTAACACATGTTGACTAGAAATTCCAGGAAAAAAGAAGAAAGAAAATGATGGGGAGAAAACAGTGAAAAAATAGTGGACAGGATTTTTTTCCCAAGTTGAAAAATAATATGAGTCTTCAGATAGTAAAAGTGCCATTATGTGCTGAGCAGAAGGAATAAAAGACACACACATACACACACACACAGGTGGATGTGAAAATCAAATTAGAGGTGGCAATAATCACCGTATCTACAATACCCATAGCAAAAACATCATATAAGTCTTCAGTTAAACCCAAGTAATTCCTAATGAAGGATATAACATGCACACACACACAAGTCTAAAACAAACTTCCTGATTATACCAACATAAAAAGTGGCAGACAAGGGAAATGGAAATTAAGTAAAAGTGGTTTCAAGAAGGTACTGAGAAGATGCAGCTAATAATAAAGACAATGCCTCATTCTAGATGTCAATAGAAGAGAAAAGAAACAGCAAATGCACCTACATATCTCTGTATAAATGTCAGTGCGTGGAATAGAATCCAGAAGGGGACACGGGAAACTACTAACAGTCGTCACCTCTGGACAGTGGGAGGAGGGTTATGGGGCAGAATATGAAAAAAATCCAGTTTTCCTATTTTAGACTTACACATTTTAGAGTTTTTTACAATGCAGAGATGATCATCTGTGTATAAAAATAAAGTTAAAGCCTTTTTTCTTAAATACAGCACAGAAATAACATTTGCATTCAGCCTCTTACAAAGCTACTTTCATGGGTGGGAAGAGCAGGTAAAATTCATTTTTATTTTAGTATTATTTGGGTGAGTGAAAGCTACCACTTCTGATTTTAAAATACCATCTTTTTCTTTTTCACCCTCTCTACCCCCCACCCAACTCATTCATTCTTCATTTTAGGCCAGGAGACATGATTACTCTTCTAGAGGATTCTAATGAAGACTGGTGGAAAGTAAGTATTTCTTTTTCTTTAAGAAAAATCATTTGGTAACTATAATTACCATGAATGCTACAATTATGGCTGCATGCCTCTTTTTTTTCCTTTCAGGGGAAAATTCAAGACAGAATTGGCTTCTTTCCAGCCAACTTTGTTCAGAGAGTACACCAAAATGAGAAGATTTTTAGATGTGTTAGAACCTTCACTGGGTGTAAGGAACGGGGACAGATAACCCTGAAAGAGAATCAGGTGAGTAAAGCCCACCAGTGCCCACCCAGTGTGACCAAAATAGAGTAAGGGTCATTTGACAAACAGCAATAAATCTGAATGAGTAGAGTCACGTGAGTGTATTCACTTTGAGAAAAGATATTCTTAGTCCAATGATGTGTGTGTGTGTGTGTGTGTGTGTGTGTGTGTGTGTGTGTGTGTTTTAATCGCTCAGTCATGTCTGACTCTTTGTGACCTCTTGGACTTCTCCAGGCCAGAATACTGGAGTGGGTAGCGTTCCCCTCTCCAGGGGATCGTCCCAACCCAGGGATCAAACCCAGGTCTCCCACATTGTAGGCAGATTCCTTACCATCTGAGCCAGCAGGGAAGCCTGATATTAGTGCAGCAGGATCTAAACAGGCAAAACCAAAGTGTTAGGAAGCGCAGTTGCCTTCCCTGAGAACCAAACATATAGCTTATATACCTTTTGGGTTGGCTACAACTTTCCTTTGGTTTCTAAGTAAAAATAAAAGACATATTTTTCATTTTCACCAAGAACTGTATTGAACAACGTATTCACCATTTTGTTCTACTACCTTAACTGCGGAGCATCCTCCAGTGTGAAATCTAACGTGAAACTTCTCAAACCACTTTTGACACATTTGACCAGTCACAGCACCTTCTCCGTACACTGCACAAATCTTTTTTTGCTTCAGTTGCATTTTTACCTTTCTTGAAATAATAAAGCATAATAAAAATGTCTCTTCTTCCTTCTGTCTTCAATATTAAAATAACTACACAAAAACTCACTAATTTTGATAAGTTTTTTTAAATGCATGCTAGTATGATAGATGTCACTATACAATCTAAACAAAATTGTTTCAAATGAAGTTAAAGGCAACTAAGCACTACTAGAGCCATCTTATAGAAAAAAAAATTCAACGGACCTTTTGGCCAACCCAATACATTTTATTTGTTAAAGTTTTACACATGCCCTATAAATGAGGAAACAATGGCTCATAGAGGTGATGTGCCTTGCTCGGGGGCAATAACCTGGCATGTGGCCAGGCTGGAACTTAAAGATAGATCTGCAAGCTTCAAGTCAATGCCTTCCACTGAGCCATGTGCCCTGGACGAAGTGGAACAAACTCGAAATGCCAAGTGCCTTTTGCATCATCAATTCCCAGGGAAGGCAAGTGTCCTAGAACCAGAAGGACCCCTGGGAACAAATTCTTGCTCATACAGAAGCCACAGAAGCCTTAGTGAGTCATTCTTGATTCCAGGCAATGGACTCACCCTCATCAGACTGAGACCCCATCTCTAACGCCATACACACCCCACGAAACAAACAGTCACATTTCCCATCTGGATTCCATGTCAATGTCTCAAACTTCTCCAAGATTACTCAACTGTATTCTTCCTGTTACAAAATCTGGAAAGTCTTCTGAATGAAATACATCCAGGAAGGATGTTCATCTTTATTGGCAAGGCATTATTACATAATTTTGCTAGCTTCTTTGATTTTTCTTCTCAGAATAATCTTGTGCTTCCCCATTTGAGATTAAACATTATTTTATGTTACTAAAATACAAATAGAGCTTCCCTGGTAGCTCAGAGGGTAAAGAATCTGCCTGCAATGCAGGAGACCTGGGTTTGATCTCTGGGTTGGGAAATTCTCCTGGAGAAGGGAATGGCAAGAAACCAACCAGAAGGCAAGTTAAAATGTACTGAAGTTGATCAATTCCCAGAAGTGGAACAGCTGCTCAATCAGTGACTTCTGCCAATCCCTGGACCTTATCCCCCCAAACCTCATTTTTTTTCTGGAAGTGAGCTCATATATGTGTGTTCCCCTCTCATGGTTGAACTGACAACCTGCTGGGGCAGGGGAGAGACAAACCACCCAGCATCTTTAATGAAGCGTGTTCAAGACCCAGCACAGCATTTCAGCTTGAACCTGGAACCACATGGATCTGCCCATAATTGTAGGAGAGTGCTGTAACCTCTGATAGTTGTCCAGCCTGATATTTCTAAGGGGTGGCCATTGCACCCTCTGAATCAGAATAACCTGGGAGCTTGTTGAAAATGCTGATTTCTGACTCCACCCCAGATCTGCCAAAGCAGAAACCTTCAGGGCAAAGGCAGGGAATTAGTCTTTTTACAGACTTCCTGGGTGTTCTGATCAAAGCTAAAATTCGAGAATGACCTTCATTTCCATTTCTCACTACTGTGTCCTCTAGTAGTTCTGTGACAACTGAAAGCATTTTTATTTCCAGTTACATGTGCGGCAGTAAAATGCACTGAGGTCTCTGCTTCTACACAGACTCTCTGTTTTCAGTCTTTGTCGTCAATGTGGCAAGCAATTTTTAGAAAATATCAGCCCCCTGAAAGAAAATTACATTTTAAAAAATCAGTACAAATTAAAAAATCAATTATTGAGAAAAAAATTAAATTTATCTCCACTTTAGTGTCTTAAACTATTTTAGATGTACAAGTTTGAAACTTACTTATTGATTGAGGGGAGTTCACTGTAGTAGCAAAAACACAGATTCCAGCATCATACAGAAATGGTCTATACCCTGTGTGATTTTGGCAAAATCCCCTCTGAATGTCAGTGCTCTCCTCTGTGAGATCGGCACAGTGTGGAGATGAGAGTCGCGTCTGTCACCTGTGTAAAGTGCCAGCACCGTGCCCGGCCAGCACGGATCATTACCCTCGCTGCCTAAATGGGACATCCGTCTGCAGCGGCCAAGGCCTCCCGGAATTACCCGATGAACCTCAGAAAGCTTCCCTGGTTGCTCAGGGGTGAAGAACCTGCTCGCAGTGCAAGAGACGCAGGTTCAACCCCTGGATCGAGAAGATCTCTTGGAAGAGGAAATGGCAACCCACTCCAGTATTCTTCTTGCCTAGGAAACCCCGTGGACAGAGGAGTCCGGCGGGCTACAGTCCGTGGGGCTTTAGCAACTGAAACAACAGCAGCAGACGTCAGAACATAGCATGCTATTTATAAGTCTAAAAATATAAAGAGACAAGTGGTCATTAGCAGGGAAAAAGAAGAAATTTGATTCTGAAAACAAATGTAACACATCTCTGTGATTAAATCACATTTCTGCCTCTGGGGTTCATTTGTCTTACAATTATTACATTATTGTTTCCACAGAACTTTTGCTACAGATAGAATTAAGTTATCTTTTTGTCGAGAACCTATCTAGAGTTTGCACTGACACAAAAGTATGTTCTCCTCATTTTTGAAATTTCAAAACTATCCTTATGAGATCAACTTAAATACCATAAAACTATTTTTTAATTCATCCATGATTCCACCATCCCTGGATACCTATTTTAATTGATTCTTATGTTCTATAAAAGCATTTTAATGGATAAATCACTTTTAGATTATAAAACTAAAATGCATTTATTGTGGAGAAAATTTGAAAAATACCCCCCAAAATTATAAAGAAGAAAACCAAGTTCAAGGTAATTCAACCATCAAGCAATGATCAACATGAATACCTTTGTGTTATTTCCCACCAAACTTTTCTTATTTTGATATCCTCTTCTATTTAGTTTCCCAACTTTTATTAACTTAGTTATTACATGTTTATCAAAACACAGGTTTTAGCAATTATATAAGATATCATCATATAGATCAGAGGTTGGGAAACCGAACTCTGCATCCATCTGGCCCTGTTTTTAAAACAAAGTTTATTAGAACATGGCTGCACTCATTCATTGCACATTGCTTATGGCTGCTTGCACACTGCAGCAGCTGAGTTGAGCCATTGCAGTGGAGACCACAGTGCCTGCAAATATTTACTATTTAGTCCCTCACAGAAAAAGTTTGCCAGCCGTACAAGATGGACAGATGTACAAGAAAGTATCTAGTATTCCTGTGACTGGATATTCAGAATTTTTAAAAAGCTATTAGGGATAACTGCAATGAACAGCTCTAAATCTTAATTTTTTTCCAATAACTCTGATTCCTTCTTTAGGAAATGCTTTAGAATTTACAAGAAAACTGATAAACCATTTTTCCAGTTCTTGATACATACTGCCTCCCAACAGTTTATGCCAGTTTACACCCACATCAGCTGTTTATGAGAACATTCAGGTTACCACATCCTTGCCAGAACTGAATATTACTGTTTATTACATATTTGTAAAGCATACAAATGATATCTGTCATTTTTAGAAGTGAGTAATATTTCGTGTTAATCCTTATTTCCTGGATGGTTAGGGAAGTTGAAATTTTATCATGTGTGTATTGGGCATTTGTATTTCTCTTTTAAAGAGAACTTCTTTCTTTTTCTTTTTGGCTGTGACGGCTCTTTGTGGCTGTGCGGTGGCTGCCCTCTGGTTGCGGTGCTCGGGCTTCTCATTGCGGTGGCTTCTCTTGTTGCAGAGCGCAGGTTCTAAAGTGCTCGGGCTGCAGTAGCCGTGGCACATAGGCTCAGGAGGTGTGGGTTGCAGGCTCTAGAGCGTGTTCAGTAGTTGTACACAGGCTTAGCTGTATAGCGGCATGTGGGATCATCTCAGACTAGAGATTGAACCAGTGTCTCCTGCATTGCAAGGCAGATTTCTAACCACTGGACCACCAGAGAAGCCCCTGTATTTCTTTATGAATCATCTGTTTATGTACTTTCTTATGCTACTGAAAAAGTTTTCTCCCTTAAAACTGTTGACACCTGATCTGCTGTACGTGGCCAACATTTCCCTCACTTTGTCATTTGCCTTTTGATCTTAATGCTTCTTCCTTCAGAAGCTTAATAATTCTTCAGTTGAATCATCTCTGTTTTACTGTTTTGTCCTTATGGTTTTAATCTCTTTATCGCTTCCCGCTTATCACTTCACTTCTTCTTAGGAGAATGTTTCAAGATAGTCCCCCACTTCATTTCAATTTTCTGAAGTTTTTATTCAGACTTTAATCACTCCTGGCATTGATTTTAATTTAGTGTTTATTTCCTCAAAGTGTTTTCTCCTCAGTCAGCCCTCTTTCCTCTGCAGCAGGTTTTCTTTAAGTTAAGGATCTTGAGATGTAGGTTATC